CCAGCGAGAATAGCCACGAAGAAAAGCGAAGGATCCGTCCGCCAAGTGCCACGTCTCCATCTCAAATAAAAAAGAAACTTTTTATGAAAAGCATTTCATTCCAAAAATTATATAATTTTCAGTTGCAAAGAATTCCTTAGTGCGTGTGCGTCTCCAAAAGTGACGGTCGAAGTGCTCAAGTGACTCACTCACCCTCGGAAGTTCGCCTCTTATAAATCAATTTCTTCTCAGTGAAGGCCAACTCTAATGATCTCTTTTATCATGGAAGCTTTGGAATTTTTAATATATTGTAAATATATTAACTTTTTTAAAAGCAAAAAAGCTCTCAAATGCAAGTTTGATTCCCCTTTACAAGGTGTCGTCAACCCATACGGTGAAGAAAGCGATGACGTAATGACACTTTTACAATTCTTTTTTATTTATCCCACGGTGTTCTTTTATTATCAATTTTCTTAATAAAAAAATGTAACAATACTTTGTTTTAAATGTCTTTTAATATCCAGCTTCTTTTTATAAATCTCATTAGTCTTTTTCTCACGTCTACGATAGTTCATTTTGGCATTAGTGACGATTTTTAGTTTATAAGCTTTTTAAGCATCGATGAGATGGTGGTTCTGGATCTCATACATATAACTTAACTAGATTTTATACACGTGCAATGCACGAGGTTAAATACTGTGATTAGGTATTTTTGGTTTGTTTTCTTACTAAAATTCATTCATCGGTTACTCTTTGATATAATTTTTGCTCGCTTTAATTAAGTATTTTTGGTTTATTTTCTACTAAAATTTGTTCCTCGATTACACTTTGATTATTTATTTATTTGACTAAAATTTGTTCCTCGATTACACTTTGATTATTTATTTATTTGATGTTTGTTTGAATATGCTACATCCAGTTTAAATTTTTATGTTGATAGTATTTATTTATTTGATGTTTGTTTGAATATGCTACATCCAGTTTAAATTTTTATGTTGATAGTTGAATTCTCAGGAGATAAATATAATCTAAAGCCAATTTAAAGTTTTATTTCATTTGGATCGGCATGAAACCGAGCTTGACCCGAGGAAGTATAATGTTTTGAAAGTAAAAACACTTGAAAAATAACATTATAAAAGGAAGATGAATAATAAATCCAACGAGCCAAGATGATTGATTTAAAGTGGGCTAAAATGACAGAAAATGATTAATGAAAAAAATCATAAACTGGAAATTAATGCTAACTCTAGTACACTTTTATATGATAGAAACATCCACATACGCATATGAAAGCACTAAAATAGTTTATGAAAATTCATTCTAAAGATTCCTAATTTTACTAAAAAATAAAACTATTCTATAACAATTCACAAAATATTATCTTTTGTTACTTCTATTTTATTTTTTATTGAGTCAAGATCAATCCTTCTTCATCTTTACCTTTTTCCTAACCAATTCTAGAGTAGTAGTGTCTTCATTATCTACATCGATTTTGATATAAGAGTGGAGCAAGTTATCTTTCCTTGGACTCATTCATCTTTTGTCCTCTCGTCTAAATTCACAAAGAAGTTGAATATATTTATTATATTCAACATAAACTTCTGACAATACGGACTTTGATTTTTTTCCTATTTCAATAAGAATAAATATTAATTTCATATATATAAAATTTTTTATGCTTTTAATTTATTACTTAAATAAGGTTAGGAGCTACATCTTTTTTTCTGTAATGAATTATTCTGTTGTGCATCCAATAAGAATTTCTGCTGTATCATAATGTTACATTTGCTTTGTATGTGTCATTTTCCATGAGGATAGGAACTAAATACATTAAATTTTTCATTGTCAATTTGCTTTAGATTATAATATTAATATTTAATTTTGATATATTTATTTCATGAAGAAGGGATATCACTTAACTTTGGTACTAAATCATCGGTGATTCAACAACATTTATCATCTGGACACTTATTATTAACATCTTTATCCACTTTCTTATTGTAACATTTGCAAACATAGAATAATTGCTCAACTCTATTATAAATGGTAGTTACCGTTCCTTAAAGGTGCTATGGTGTGTTTGTATATTGATAAATTATTCTTAGGTTTAATTATATGAATATTAGGTTTTCTAAGATCATACCTCTTTCAAATGTTATAATGGTTGTATATATTAGTAATTTGAATTTCTGTTGCATTTATAAAGAGTCTTAATAGAGATGATTTTGCCTTGGCAGAGAGCTGCATATTAGCTTTAAAATGTAATATATTTTTTTTACGGTGTTATATGGATGTTTGCTTGGTTTACTTACTATTCTCTTATTTCTTCAGTAAGTTGTATCTTTGGATTGATATATTATTGACGCAATTTACGATGACATGCATATCTCCTCTATAAATTTGAGACAGATATAAGGTGAATTTTATATTTAGTGGCATTTAATAAGAATTTTACTAATGAAATATACTACCTTCATACTTAGAGATCTTGAATTCTAATAGTACTATTACATTATTATCTTTGATAGTGTCTTTAAGAATTGATCATTCGTTAGTAGTCATACCCCTAAATGAAGTCACACACAGGGTCGTGATACTATATAAGAAAAAGAAAAAGGTAGGTTTTATATTTTTTGCTTACGCAAAGTATAGTAATTTTTCTTTTATCTTATATGAAGAATGTTTCTTTGATGAGCACAAAGTTGTTCAATATATTCTTCAGGGGATATTTAGTCGGTGTTTTTTTGATAAATATAACTTATGTTAGTGTTAATTGAAGTGATTCATGGACGTTCCGAATTTATGTTAGTGTTAATTGAAGTGATTCATGGACGTTCCGAATTCCATTTGAAATGAAAACCGCTTGATTATTTTGAAGGATATCTCTAAATTTTCTAATAGTTCTCCATACATAAATCTTTATAATCTTTTACCTAATAAATATTATTACCATTAGAGATCAATATTTATAAATTATAATCAATTAATATTAAGCTATTATATTATAGTCTTTTATCAGTTTTTTGTGATTTAGTCTTCTATCAATTAATGATACTTATGTATTTTTGGTGTTCTAGCATATTGGTAAAAATTATATGCAGTTACTTTAATTTATAAAATAACATTAATTTTTAATCTATCATATATTTTTAAATTTTTTATTATTTAAATGGATATTTTAATTTGTTATTATTGCTATTTTTACTAGTATCAACTTGATTATTTTCATATTCTAAAAAGAGATAGTAAACCTTAAATTATAAGTTATATTTATATATTTTAATGAAAAAATATCACACAATTACTCTTTTCTTTGCCAAGTTCTAAATTTTTAGCTTTTTATTTTATGTAATTTTAAACTTTTGAGAGTATTTTGTCTAATTTTCAAACCTTTTTGCTTTTTTTGTAATACTTCATGTAATAAACTGATAGTACGAAGATGTTTCATATATTTTATTATTCTTATTTAAATTATTAAGCTATAGATAGTTCATGGGGTTTTAGGATAGGATATAAGTATGATTAGTATAGATTATAATTTAAATTAAATATTTAAAATAGTACAGTGTAATTTTGACTATGGAAAGCTTTTCCCGAACTCGTGCTTTTAAAGTGAGTATAATTTTTTATTTTCCTTAATTTTTATTTTTTATAATTTTGAGAATGACTTTTGTCTTTTTAATTTGTTTGGTGGCTTTTGTAAATATCTCATCCACATTATGTATATGTGTTGGTCTAAGTTGTTCCCGGGTTCGACCTTTGGGGTAGACATTATTTATCTCATTAATTTATTTATTTTTTGCATATACACTCTTCATTTTATAGACATTTATAAATTTGGTATTTAATAATTTTATTTAGATTTATATTTCAATTTAAATTGTATTCTTATCTTCATACTATGTATATCCAATAAGAATTCATCAATTTATCAACTTACTCTTACCTAATGGAATAATATTTGAATTCCAATGGTATTTTTGTCTACCGAAAGATTTTTCCGAACTCGTGCTTTTAAAGAGAGTATGATATGATTTTTTATTTTCCTTAATTTTTCTTTTTATAATTTTGAGAATGATTTTTGTCTCTTTAATTTGTTTGGTGGATTTTGTAAATATCTCATCCATATTATGTATATGTGTTGGTCTAAGTTGTTCCCGGGTTCGACCTTTGGGGTAGGCATTATTTATCTCATTAATTTATTTATTTTTTGCATATACACTCTTCATTTTATAGACATTTATAAATTTGGTATTTAATAATTTTATTTAGATTTATATTTCAATTTAAATTGTATTCTTATCTTCATACTATGTATATCCAATAAGAATTCATCAATTTATCAACTTACTCTTACCTAATGGAATAATATTTGAATTCCAATGGTATTTTTATCTACCGAAAGATTTTTCCGAACTCGTGTTTTTAAAGAGAGTATGATATGATAACCAATATTTTTATTTTTTGAAAAAGAGAACACAGATTGCGTAGTAAACTCTATAGAATATACTCTTTTTAAAAATAGCGGTATCAATAATGATGTCCTGAGGATAATATTAGTAATGAATTTAACTTTCACGAGTCCAAAACTTTTACATGCTAACTCCTATTTATGTTTCTTACTTTTATCTAAGAAGAAATTTGCAAAGTAGACATTTTTTTTGCCAACAGGTCAAAAAAATGTTGATTTTGCAAAACAGACAATTCGAAACATACGATGCTAGTAGTCCCGTATGATTTAATACCCTATTAAATCATACGGGACTACTAGTCCCGTATGATTCGAATGGTCTGTTTAGCAAAATCGACCTCTTTTTTGCCAACATGTCAAAAAAATATCTATTTTGCTAAATATTTAGCAAAACGGTCTGTTTTGCTAAATATTTAGTAAAATAGGTCTATTTTGCAATTTTTTCCTTTATCTAAAGTATGATCTTTCAAAACGGGTCGAATTTTAGATCCGAACCCGAACTTGTCTAACCCGACTTCAGTCTCCTCACTGGCAACAACCGCTGTCAGTTTCAGAATTTTTCTCTCAAGAGTCCACAGCAGGCTCGACTACTCGCAAGGGGGGAAAAAGGGGGGAAAAATTAAAAATTAAAAATTAAAAAAAATGGGTCGTTTCTCAATCTTGCGGTTGATCGTCCTATGCTCTCTTTGTCTCGGTATGTAAGAATTTAGCTTGTTTTGATTCATGGGTATTAATCCTTTCAATTAGCTGAAACCCCCATTTTTGGATCCCTAGGGTTTTATTTTTTATTTTTGCATTAAACCTGATTAGTTCTGTTTACTGCCCAATTAGAGTTATTCTTAAATAAGTTGATAAATTGAATTGATATATATAAGCAATTTGTTGCTGTTGTGCAGACCTTGGCTTTGTCCAAGCATTTACAGGAACTTATGGCATAAATTATGGGCAAATCTCCGATAACATCCCCGGGCCCGAAAACGTAGTTAAGCTTCTAAAAGCAGCAAAGATTAAAAATGTTAGAATTTTTGATTCAAATCACACTGTTATAGAGGCATTCAAAGGGTCTGGGCTTGAGCTAATTGTAGGTCTCAGCAATGAACATGTGAAAGATATGAATGCAAGTGAAGACAAGGCTTTAGACTGGGTTGAGGATAATGTTCAGCAGTTTTTGCCCGAAACCCCTATAAGAGGAATTGCTATAGGAAATGAAGTTTTGGGGGGTTCCGATCAAGAACTGGAACAGGCTTTAGTGGGCGCCGTTAAAAATGTTTATCGAGCTCTTGATAGGCTTCACTTGACGAATCTTGTTCAGGTCCTGACGTCACACTCTCAGAATGTGTTTGCTAGTTCTTATCCTCCATCGTCTTGTGTTTTCAATGAGAATATTGTTCAATATATGAAGCCACTGTTGGAATTCTTTACAAAGATTGGGTCTCCATTCAATATCAATGTGTATCCGTTTATAGCATATAAGGGTGATTCTGCGAATATTGATATTAATTACGCATTGTTCCAGTCAGACTCGGGAATTTATGATGAGAAATCGGATTTGCATTATGACAATATGTTTGATGCAACGGTGGATGCGGCTTATTTTGCTTTACAGGATGCAGGGTATGAGCAAATGGAAGTGATTGTTACTGAGACTGGTTGGGCTTCAAGCGGTGATGAAGATGAGGCGGGAGCTACGGTTCAGAATGCTAGGACATATAATTTCAATCTGAGGAAAAGGCTTGCAAAGCGAAGAGGGACTCCGCATAGACCGAAAATTGTGATGAAGGCATATATTTTTGCGTTGTTTAATGAGGACTTGAAGTCTGGCCCTGGTTCTGAGAGGCATTATGGATTGTATAAACCAGATGGAACCATTGCTTATGATATTGGATTTCCCAGTTTGAAGAAGTCACATGCATCTTTATCTCTCTTGTCCATTAAGGTAATCAATTCAATTTATCTCCCTTCTTTTCTGTTTTATATATGTTATTGAGTCATAGTAATTGTCCTCTCTTTTTACCACATGCATGCATGATGTCATAACTTTTTTTTCCCTTTTTTCTATATGGCACTTAGGTTACAAAGTTAAGTAAAACTAAAAATTTAGTGAACATAGAACTTGTACTCCGTGTGTACTCTTTAAGACTAAACTTTGAAGTTAGCCTTAAAGCTACAAGTCTAACTTCGAAGTTTTCAGCATAGCTTTCTGCTTGGCTGCAACCTTAGAAGTTCATGTTTGTTATGCAAAAGTTTGAAAAATGTGGAAGGTATTAATTCGTACTAAAAAGTTTGTTTCAACCTACCAGAGTACATAGTGGCAACCATAGTGTCATTTTCACCATCCCTCTCGACCTTCGTGTCACAAATGTGCATGAGCAGGCATTTCCAAACATTCATCTAGCAGTTGTAAAATGAACAACATAAAGTAACAGACGATCCTTTTTTTGAGAAACTTTCTAACTATGTGATCTCTCACCCATAACCATTTATTATATGCAGATTAATATGCATTGCTGCTCACAACAAGTATAACGGTATGAACTAACTAAAATTTTCTCTGAACTATTAGGTCATACCAATCCATATATGTTAGCACATGTACTATATATGATTTGTACACCTTGAGCTATTACTGACACTTAGCATGTATCGCTTCTCTTTGATCTTCAGTGTGTACCTTAGCATTCAACTGAGTGGTACCATTTAAATCCTGAAAAAATTATCTCGATAACTGATTGATTGTCAATCCTGTCACTATGGTTGCATTTATGTGTGTTCTTGGCTCTGTAAATTCCACATAAAGGTGCTAACAGTAGACTTTGAGTCCAATCCTACACATGCAAAATCAGTTAAAGTATTCATATACCAATACTATATGTTGATCTTGATTTACTGAAATTCAAATGCATAGAATGACAAACCCATTCTTTGGCAATCATGAAATACATCAGAAGGTGAAGGCTAAAATCCACTGGGCTTTACTTTCCAAATTCTCAGTTGACCACAATCCCAGCTTCTATATATATGCTCTTTAAATGCTCTTTCTTTAATTGTCTTACGCTTGCAGCATATTTATGCTCAAGGTGGGTTGGGGCCTTATACGAACGTTCTTATTGCTTGTACCACTGTCCTTCTTCTGGTTCTGATAAGATAGGTGACATGAATTGGAGGCTTCGGCATATTAGTTACTAGTTCATAAGCAAGAATTTTGCTGCATAGCAGCGATATGGAGTGCGTTCCCGCAATGCAGTATTCACATCTTCTCAGACTTCTTCTGGGTATGGTGGTTTATAATTATTCATTATTTGCTGGTTATTTCACTTCAGCAACACGATTAATAGTGTTCCATATAAACTAAAAGTTATTGTCTACTATTAGTTTCAACTTGCATGATAGCATAGGTGCCCACCTTAATTTTTTGTTACTGCTGGGCTTTTCATGTAAATAGGCGGAAAGTTGTATCTGAATTTTTTGTTGTTAAAAGGTATTATGAACTTTTATTCTAGCAAACAATTATCCTCTTACTCTATTGATGTTGTCATCTGTGAACAATGTTCTTACCCGAAAATGTGGTAGACCGCAATATCCAGATTGACTTTATAATGTTTTAGTTCATATAAGCTGGGATAAAATTCAGATCAATTTCCACTAAGATGTGATCTTGGCATCATTTTTCCTGCGATCTCTAACAACTTTTTCAAAAAAAAAAAAATTAGCGGAGGTCCTGAATGCCATTATCATGCATAGCTCTGTGCATCATTCTTGTTTCATTACATTAAATTATAACCTGGTTATGACTGAGATAAAAACTATGGTACCAAAAGGGCTTTAGTTTGAACTCAATGATGTAATTACCAATATTTCTTCATAGGCACATTCTCTACATGGCCAATCCATCTTCCACTGTTCTATCAGTGTTGATGAAATTATCGTCCATGACATTAAAGACTAAAGAGGATAGTTGATATTAGTTTGCTTGAAAATTGGTCTCAATTCATGTTGTGATACTTAGATATGTAGCATCCCATGAAAAATTTGGATATATATTATCACAGATGACAATATTATGCAGATAATTCAAGTGCAGTTGTTACCAAGATACATTTATGCATTTATATAAAACATTAACACACTATTAACTGGATCATTGACTAAACATTCAACCTAAAGAGAATGTTTGAGATAACCTCCCTATTTTGGCCTACAGGCAGATACCTTCCTTCTGTTCAAAAAAGTAATTTGATCATGATGCCCTTGTATTTCTACTTGTGGGCTGAGTATCGTCTTAAATTTCTATATCTCAAAGGAATTTATTGACTTCATTTATTTGCCAAAACAAGATACAACAGGTTGGCTATTTTTACAATATGCAAATATTCCTCGAAAATAAACTGTGTAGCTGTTAACTGTGAAGAAAACTATTAAAATAAGAACCTGAATCTGAATGGGAGCTCACTGAGCATGCAAATATGATCTTATATCATATATTAGTAAAGTTTTTCCATTTTTTGGTTTATCTCCATTAAGCTACAAAATAAACTTGTTTAGCAGCTCTTAAACTTGTGTAACTTGATGCATTTTCTTGTATCAATGATAGTCATTATCTAGTGTCCCTGTCATTTCTTATCAGTGGTGTGTTTCTTGAGAAAAGAAAGTGATGACTTCTTGTTGCTCCAATTTTGCTCTCTTTTTAGAAATTTGTTATTGACTTGTTAGTTTCTGATTGATTAAATCTTCTGGTTCTTTTTCACAAGTGATTATCCTGCTTAGTACCTTCCATACTTGGATTAATTGGAGATTTTAGGGAACCAAACGGCAATTTTCAAAAGCAACTATCCTGTTTCTTGGCCTTGGCTTCTCCTTGTTGTGTTTACACATTCCTTTACGTTTGCTGTTTCACATTTGGTGTAGACTTTAGAAGCAATTACATCACATCTATTATAATTTCAGACCTTTCTTCATATGCACGAAAACGGTAATAGTTCAACTTTCCACGAGAAGTCAGTTCCTTCTCTGGGTTTTTTTTCATATTGGATTGAAATTATGCATCAAATTTTTGACCCTGGGAGCGCTCCTTAGGGATCATTTTTGTCACCTACATCAGTTTAAGGGGTTTTTCCGTTTGGTCCAAATATCTCTTATTACAGGACTATTCCGTCTGAAAAGGAGACTAGCATGGTTTTTCCGAGTCAAATTTGAAGACATTTTCCTCTAGTCTTAGGTTTGTTCTCGGAGAGCTTTTGAGAGTCTCATGATCTCATCCTTTCTTTCCTTTGTGCCTTCTTTGGCTACATGCATGAGATCATTTATGAAATTTTATTATTTCCATATTAAACTAACATTAACGTCTACATTATACTTGGTTTGAATGTTTCATACTTTAATATATTATCATCAGGTGTCGATCTTTTAGCTTAGTGTGCGTGTTACGCTGCCCGCTTGTCATCCGTCTTCTATATGCTACATATTTTACATGCATGCCGGTGCATTACGGTGTCTAATGTAAAACTTTAAGAAGAAAGGTGGGGGGAAAATGATATTTTAATATCTATACTTCATCGTTAGGTAGGTTTTTGAATCAGATTGATTGTCTGTTATCTGTTAATTTTCCTGGTTGATTGTCTGTTATCTGTTCATTTTCCTGTCTGTTTCTGGTGTACAAATGAACGATAGCCAATAACTTGGTAGTCCAAACGAATTGTTTGGACATTTATTTAGATGCCAAAATGGAACTGAAACTCTCATCGAGTTGGATCCAAATGTGACGTTCTCCGAATATGGAGCAAATAAAAAGTTCAAAAGTAGATTATATGATAATGTATACAATGTGCGTTTAGCTACGTACGTTACGATAAATTGCTGTAAGATTAAAATATAAAATTAACAATTGCACTATGGAATAATTGAGCTGTGACTTTGAAAATTAACTTCAATTGGGTGGCTGTACAGCTGTCTTTAGGGCCAGAATGCAGTTCTAACCAGAAGAAGAAGAGGTTCGGTCCAAACTCGTCGTGTCGAAATTTGATTTCTTTGTTTAGGTACATATCAGATTTACTAGGTTTGGTCCAATTTTGTAGCTAGTGAAGAAGTGGCGAGAGAAGTTTAGGAATTAGCCAGGCAGACTGGCAGTCGACCGCGAATCAGCGGCGGTCGACTGCGAACATGCACAGGAGAGCAAGAGGTTCTGGAGCTGAAGGCGGTTGACCATGGCAGTCGACCGTGCGGACCCTGTAGGCGTTTTAACTCTTGGGAATTGGTTCGGTCGACCGTCACGGTCGACTGTGGGTTTCCTGTAATCAATTTATTCTTTGTCGGGGGTGTTCGGTCGACCGTCGCGGTCGACCGTCACGGTCGACCGCGTACCCTGCCCCGTGGACGTAGGCAACTTGCCGAACCACGTTAAACTCGTTGTCTTGATGTGGTATTGTGTTTGCCTTATTAATTGTGATTTATCTCTTATTCTTGTTCATGTCGCTTTGAGGCTTCCGCCGCCCACAACAGCTAGACCGTAACTTCAGAGTTTGTGATTTAGCTTTTGCATTTATACGCTATCTCGGATCATGATTCCAGATTTATAAACCCGTGATCATCCATCTCGAACGCATGCATGGCTATATATTTTTAATCAAACGATTTCTAAGACCTTCACTCTCAACACTCGATTTAGGTGCCCGAATTCAGTCTGTGAAAATTGTAATTATTGGATATGGGCCGATTGACGATCATAGGAGTCAAATCCGTAAGGAATGATAATTCAAATTTAAAAAATATGGCAGAGAGACCATAATGATGAAGGGTGAGATTACAATCATTAGGTCATAATTCACAATGATATATAAAAGACCCCGCGCACGTTCTCTATCTGGGCCTGTTTGTTTCGCAAAAAATTGCAGAAAGTGGGGAAAAAATAAATAAATTTGATGTTTTTCTCTATTTTTTTATGTTTGGTTCGTCAAAATTAGGAAAGAAAGTGAGGGAGAAATGAGTTGTCACCATATTATTAGATGAGATGAGTAATATTTGATGTTTTCCTTCACTTTCTTTATTTTTTGTTCTTTCTTGTGTTTGGTTCATTCTTAAAACTAAGAAAATAAATGAGAGAAAATAAGCTGTCATTATATTATTGGATGATGTGACCCATACTTAGGAAAATCAATTTCCTTGTTTTTTTTGGAGGAAAGAGATGGAAGAAAATTTTAATGAGATGTGATGAGTTGCACCATATTATTGGATGATGTGAGCAATTTTTAAAGATGGTAGAAAATGAAGGAAAGTTGGGTGAGCTGAGTTAGATGAGTTGATTGATGTGACTCATTTCTTGTATTTAGTTTATTTTTAAAAGTAAGAAATGAGATGTGATGAGATGAGTTGTCACAATATTATTGGGGGGAAGTGGAGAAAATGAAGGAAAGTGAGTTAAAGAAAGTGGGGAAAAGTGAAAAAGTGATGGAAAGTGAGTTTTGGATTCTGGGGGAAACGAAAATTATTGTTTGTCTGGTCGTGTCAATCCTACAACCTAATTGGTGCGTGCTAGACTCGACGAACCGAAAACTAATTGCGTCCTCATCGATCTCGATCCTCATTTTCCAGTCCAAAAGAGTTCAAAATAGAATTTGCAAGTGAAGATATGTAATTATTCTTTTCGACACCGGGCTGGCTCCAACGTTAGTATCACATTTTGTGCATCACAAGTCACAGTCCACTTCCAACCCTTCATATTGTCCCTAGATCACGTTTCTTCTGCCTCTGGTCATTTTACATCTACTTCGCGTCACGGCTGAACATAAAGGAATTTTTCAATATTAGACCCTTAAATATTTAATGCGCTGAAATTAGTCTCGAAAGTGCTATTAAGCTCTCAATTATTATTATAAGCTGTTTCAAATTAATCCCCTCCAATCAAGGGTAGCACTACCAGGGTATAAGACTTGGGAAACCCCATTGACAGCCTAAATTTCAAAATATCGAATATTGTAAGGGACTAATATCTATATTTCAAAGTAAAAAGTCATATGAACCCGAATCAAACCCGCCAATCCACGCTATCTGCAGTCTAAGG